AATGGGACTGGGGAACAGGGTACTGGGGAGAGAATAAGGAATGGCAGCGTGTAAGCAGTAGACAGTCCCCAAAACCTTCGTTTAGCCCTTCATCTAACCAACTGAAGACTGCCTGACCAAGAGAAGAGTAACTTGTTTCATGTTAGATTTTTTAAATATTAGGATAAAAATACAAAATAGGCTACTTAAAACCCCCAGAACATTCATGTAAATCTTAAAATCACCCAGTGGTCTGGTCTCCTAAAGTGAATGGATATATCCCCAAACCCAATTGTGGTGAGGGCACTATTCCCTTGGAAGCTTCTATCCTATCACCAGTGGTTTACTTTTCCATATGCCTATCACCTCCAACTTGTTGGCAACCTGGTCCAGTCCCTTATCTCCTCCCACATGGATAATGGAAACAGCTGTCTGGAGGGTTCTTTTTGACTTCAGTTCCTCCATCCTCTAATGCAAACTTCATACCTTTCATTCATTCAATCAATGGATTACTTTCATCACTGGGTAACTTTTACCCATTCATTCAACTGGTGTGTGTTCTTCTTCCAGTTGATTTCTCTTGTTCATATGTAACCTTTCTGCCGAACAGGTCTTTTTACTGGGTTAGACTGCCATGTCTTTACTCACATCCCATATCCCCAAACTCCTGCTTTTCCTGGAATGACTTCCTCTTTTTTTTTTTTTTTTATCTACTTAAGCTCTACTTAAAGCTTTAACTCAAAGCTACCTTTTCCATGAAGCCTTCCCAAATTAATCTCTTTGAATTTACAGCACTTAGGCAGCAGAATGGGTATCATGATTCAATTCTTTGTATCATGTCTTCTGTTGTTCTGTCCTCGCTTTATGAGTTGGCCTTGTCCTACTCACTTCTACTAGGAAGTCATTTCTGATCCCTGTCTATTTCTCTGGGCTCCCACCACTCTCTGTGCTTACTGCTAACATAACTCAAACTGTGCTGAGATCATTATTGACTTAAGGATAGTGCTAAGCCAGCCAGCTTCCAATAAGTGCTGAGCTCTTAACAAGAAGGAAAATGCCAAACTACAGTAGTGGACTTCTACTTCTGGCAGCATGGAGGAGAGAAAGGGCTCTCTCACTAGAATACCACAGGATCCTGGATAAATTACAGTAAACATGTTTGTCATGCTCATCAGAAAGTAGCAGAGATCACTAAAGGAAGGGGGAAAAATAACATTGAGCTGAACCCTTATGCAGAATGAGTAACATGCAGCAGGAGAAGCAGGTTTGCCCTGGGCACAAGTGCCAGTTTCAGTATCATGAACAGAGGCTAAGCCCTGGGCCCAGCCAAAGCAGGGGAGAAAACCTGGGACTCCCGAGTTACAGCAGGACTCCTGAAGGGTTGACACAGCCCCAGTAAGGAGCACCCTTTGTCACCTGGCAGAAACAAGTGCAAATTCTCTCTGGGGGAAAGTACCCCCAACTTAGGTCCACTGGATTTCCTTAGATTAACAAATAGGAGCTCAAAATCCAAAAATACAAAATATACCAGGGAACAAGCTGCTACGGGAAAATCAGCTGAAAACAACAAAACAGGTAGATATCCAAGGTAAGTTACAGAATATAAAATTGTTGTTCAGTTACTAAGTTGAGTCTGACTCTTTGTGAACCCATGGACTGTAAGACTCCTCTGTCCATGGGATTTTCCAGGCAAGAATACTGGAGTGGGTTGCCATTTTCTTCACCAGGAGCTCTTCCTAACCCAGGGATATAACCTGCATCTCTTGCAGTGGTAGGCAGATTCTTCACTACTGAGCCATCTGGGAAGCCCCAGAATATAGAAATAACAATCCTGACAAACTTCAAAGAACTGCTATCACAGAGACCACAATTCCTGAGCACAAATGATCAAACTGAAAATCAGTATCAAAAAGATAAAATTTTAAATATCTAGATTTTGGAAATTTAGAAAACTTTTCTAAATCATGAATCAAAAAAGTCATAAAGGTAATTTAAATATTTTTACAACTAAGTAATAAATACTTTTAAACAGAAAAATGTGGAGAATATAGGGAAGTGGGTCCTTGAAAACTTATAATAGAAAAAAAGACAGCTTGAAAATTAGATAAAAATTAAGATGTAAAAGAACATAAAGAAAGAAGGAAATACCACAGATAACATCCATAATTAATGAAGTAGAAAACAAATATTTGTGGCTTCCCTTATAGCTCAGTTGGTAAAGAATCGCCTGCAATGCAGGAGACCCCTGGGTCTCCTGGGTTCAATCCCTGGGTAGGGAAGATCCCCTGGAGAAGGGATAGGCTACCCACTCCGGTATTCTTGGGCTTTCCTGGTGGCTCAGCTGGAAAAGAATCCACCTGCAATGCGGGGGACCTGGGTTTGATCCCTGGGTTTGGAAGATCCCCTGGAGAAGGGAAAGGCTACCCACTCCAGTATTCTGGCCTGGAGAATTCCATGGACTGTATAGTTCATGGGGTCGCAAAGAGTCAGTGTAAAAGAACATAAAATTAAATCTAAAGAAAGCACAAGGAAATACACATCCATAATTAATGAAGTAGAAAACAAACATTTAAGGGAGAGGATCAACAAAGTCCAGAGTGGCAGCTAAATCAAACAAGTAAAACAAATTTCTGGTGTAGTTGGTCAAAGGGGAAAAATAGAAGGCACAAGTAAACAGCAGAAATGAAAAGGAGGACACGACCACCCAGGGAGCAAAGGTGAAAAAGAACATGGAAGGAATTTCATTTTTAAAAAATGACGTAAAATGCACAAAACTCTAGAAAAACATTTACCTAAATTGACTCAAGAAGAAATAGAAAGCCCAAATAGCCTATAATTATTAAAGAAATTGAATTAATAGTTAAGATGTTTCCCACAAAGAAATGCCAGGCTCAGATGGCTTACCAAGTAAGTTTTATCAAATGATCAAAGGATGGTTCATTTCAATCTAATATACACATTTTTAGAGAATGAGACAAGAGGGAACAGTTTCCAACTCAAAGGGTGTACAGATCAAAGGAACCATCTCAGAAGACTTAGAAAGCTTACTAAAAACAAAGGCACTAACCTGTACAAGAATGTTAGTAGCAGCATTATTTATAACCGCAAAAAAACCAGAACAACCCAAATGTCCATTGACAGATGGGATGGATAAATTGTGGTTTATGCACTTGAAATATTATATAGATAAAAATGAGCGAATAATAGCTATCTGCAACATGGATGAATCTTAGAAATAATGTTATACGGGAAAAAAAAGCAAACCACAGGGGAATGTTAAGAGAATATAATTTTGTAAAGCTAAAAAGCAAAACCATTTTAAAAGGGTATATACATAAATGGAAAGGCTATATATGTATATATATATATATATATATGTATATATTGCAGGTAGTTAATAAACACAAAATTAAAGATAGTGTGACCTCCAGGGAGAGCCATGAGGACAGGCTAGGGGAAGAACACAAGAAATTCAGCAGTATTTCTAATGTTTTAATGTACAAATTGGGTGATGGGTCATTTAATTATTATGCTTCATAACTTATTCACGTTAAATATATTCTTTATAGTTATCAAACATTACATATAATTTTAAAAAATCTGCAATGGTGGAAATAAATGAACAAATGAATGAAGGCTCCCTGAAAGAAAATGGAGAATCCCTGATGGAAGTTACCCTATGCAGAAGACAAAGTAGGTCCTTAATTAATGTTGGTTGGTTTACTGCTTTTCCCAAATATATACCTGAATTCCCTTCGTACTGGTGCTCCCTGATAGGAAAGGCACCTCCTTCCATACACACAGCCTAAACCCACAATCCCAGCCCGGCTAAGTCCTGACACTTACATGATAAGAGACTGACACCTGGTGGATACAGAGTGAATTTAATAAAATGACTAGGGAGTAAATCTAACTCTACTTGGTGAAAGAAAGAGGCAGTAGAGTGGAGCATTGGGAAGCAGGAATGAGCAGAAAACTAAAATTCAGAAAGAGGAGAATGAAGGATAGCCATCTCTGAGATGGAGGTGGAAAAAAAAGGGGGATTGTTATCCAAATGAGACTAAAGAGATAGTCTCCAAATGAGAAAGATTTCCCTCTCATTCCTTGAGACCAGAATGAGAGGAAGAGGTTACAGCTGCAGTAAGGAAAATTCAAAACTATTCGGAAAAAAAGGAAGGAAGATAACTGGTCTCAGCCTAAAAGCTAAAACCAAACCTACTTCATAGCAGTAGCCAGGTGTCAGGTGACTCCCCAGGAACTCCCCATTCCCAGTCCCCATTGAGGAATCTATGTGATTCTAAGGAGGCTGATCCTGCCTTTTTTTTCCCAAAAGGTACAGGCCATGACGTAGCATAAACAGGCAAATTAGCATTTATTATACCAATCTCCTGCCCACAGTGACTGGCTAGGAGTGGGTGTGTGACCCAGGCTGACCTCACCGAAGTGAATCTTAGGGCTATTGCTAGGATTCCTGGCACAAAGATGCCCTCTCTTTCTGGTTGGACATGAGAAAGGAAACATGGAATCCTAGGAGTGCTAGCAGCCACGAGGCAGACGAGGCTTAAGATGATCCTACAGAAGTAGAATGGTGAGGGGAAATCAATCAGGTATTTAGAGACTTATGGAGTCACTGGATCAGCTTCATCAGGAGCTGGCCCTACCTCTGGACTTGCCAGTCACATGAGCCAATAATTTGTTTTTAAGCCAGTCTGAGTTAGGTTTTCTGTGATTTAAAACTAAGAGACTCCAAGCCGAGGCATTCATCGTATTTCATCCCTATATTCCCACAAGATAGTGCAGGGATCCAGGAGAGAGGTCACTACAGATTAGTGACTCTAAAGCCAAGGGGACTGAGCTGGAAAAGTGAGAGGCAAAAATCAGGCACTATGTAAGACAGGGTGCCTCAGCTGTCTACAGAAGAGAATGAAGAGCCAAGTGAGAAGCAAGTGCAAAGAAGGGCCTCTTCTAGGCAGCCAGGTAGCGTCAACAAAGGGCTATAAACACGCCTTCCCACATACCTATCATGGGGGTGCCGCTTTAGGGTCTTTTCGCTCATGGGGCATGGAGCTCGGAAGCACATGCCCCTTTAAGTCTTTATTTCCCTGTGTGGAGGTGTCTACTTCTCCCCTGACCAAATGAAGAGCCTCCTTTTGGCTTCTACTGCCCCTGATGACGCTCACTTTGGGGGTGACAGGAGGAATTTTATCTTCTGCTTCTTTGGCATGACGGGAACTGGGGCCCCTTCCTCCTTTGGAAACAGTGCCATCCTCCTGACCTTGGGCAAGCACGCCCTTCTCAGCCTCTCCCACTGGCCCTGGCCCTCCTGACCCTCCAGCTGAGTTGCTCTCCCCTCCAGAGGCCCATGTATCCCGTGGTAACCTTGAGGACTGGGCTGAATCCACAGTAGCTGCTGACTTGTCGGGGGTAGAATTCCTTTCCCTACTTCCACCTGATTTTTTTCGAGGGCGCCCCCGTTTTCTTTTGGCATCACTTCCTGTATCGTCTAGATCCTGCTTTGTGGCTTTAGCTGGAGGGTCCTGCCCACTGGCTTCCCTCACAGGCACTTCAGCTGTCCTCTTGACACCCTTGTCATGGGGTCCCGGGTCACCACCTATGCCCACTTCCCTGTTCTCTGCACCCCTTGGCTGAGCGAGCCCCCCAGGGGGAGCTTGCCCAGGCCCAGGCAAAGCAGGAACCGTTGGTAAGATCATGTTAATGATGGGAACAGCTGCTTGGGGTCCCCCAGCCCTACTGGGCAGAGGCAGTGCAGCCATTTTCAGAGTGCCTGAAGAAAGCTTGGGGGCCAAGATGGGTGGAGAGACTCGGATTGGCGGAATAAGTGAGCGAGGGGCCCGGGGGAGGAGCAGAGGCAGCCGGGCCACTAGGGCATTAACCTGCGGGTTATTGGCCACTGGCGCTGGGCTCTCCACTACACTCTTCTTTCGCTCTCCACGTGCAGAGGGGCCAGCCCCAGCCCGGGGGTCTAGCTCTTTAGGAGGCTAAAAAGTAAAGAGAACAACACAGTAAGTGGGAAGACTGGACAATGGAGGGAATATAGGAACAGGACGTGAAAAGTACTGAACCCACTGGGCGAAGGGTATACTATACCCCCAGCCCAGGGGAGTAAGGTCAAGGGCATCAGCTTCCTCACCTGGGCCTGTCTCTCTGGTCTCTTATGAGAACCGCCCTCCAGGTTCTCTACCCCATTCTTGGATTTAGATGACCGTTCTCGAGGGGCATGTTCGTCCTCTTCTGCGGAAGTGCCAGAAAAGGAAAAGAGGTGAGGAAGAAACAATGGAGGAGGGAGGTGATTCTGACTGACTGACTGGTAGAGAGGCAGGGGAAAGAGGTGGGCCAAGGCAAGTCTGGGAAGGGTCTCTAGGAACAGAAGGTGTCTTCTCTCCTTGTATGTGGGAGAGCCTTTAAGGTTGAAAGTGGTTGAAGGTTTCTCAGAACATAATAGAGGGTCCACCCACCAGCGAGTCCCATAGCTTTGAGCACATGGGCGTGTGCAGATCGGGCAGAGATGAGATGCTGCTGTAGCAGGAAGCGGGCAACCTCAACGATGGAACTGAAGGACCGTTTCAGGATTCGCTCAGCCCAGTCACAGGTCAAGGCACAGGCTGCTTCCACCAGCTCATCCCGAGGTGCTGGGGTTACTTCAGGGCCCATTTCAGGCTAAACAGGGGAAGGACATGCCCAATTACACAGTGATTGGCCCCTCCGCCCCTCTCAGGCACCAATGTTGACGGTAAGTAAGACCAGAATAGGGATGGCAGTAGCTTCTATCATTCCATCCCAAAAACCCCCAAATTCTCTTCCTCCTCTGCCTCAGCCATAGTGTAGGCAGAAGGGCATATCCTATAGGCTGAGAAACTGTGCCAAACGACCTAGGCTGTGTTAGGCCTCAAAACATTTCTCAAAATCCTCTGCCGTCTACCTTGGGGAGAAGGGTGCAATCGGAGGGTGGTTACTTACACTCTCAGAGCCCTTTAGGTCAAGTCCAGGCAAGGGCGGCATAGATACCAAGGTCTTCCTTCGTATGCCACTGTAGCAATATCTGACATAAGTTAAGGGGTAACCAACACACTGGAGGTCCCCAAGTAGGAAGGTTGGGCTGTTTCCACTTCTAGCTCTTCATATCCTCATCCTAAGTTTCTTTCCCCAGGTCCTCCAGCCCACCCTCTCCAGTCAAGGATACTTGGACTGGCCCCGGCCACCAAGCCTTCGGGCCTTGATATCAGGGAAGATCTCTCTGATGATTTTGCCAAAGTTGGCTGTGCTGAGCGGGCGGCAACACGCGAGGCTCTCGCAGTACTTCCTGAGTGAGGCAGGGACAGAGTGGGAAGAATACTCAGAGAAGGAGGTTTGTGGGTGGGTTCAGAGGGTCCCTGGGAATCAAGGTTGGGAAACTCTTGAAGTCAGGCTCCATCAAGGCAGGGGCCTCTACAGGGAGGAGGGGGTAGTCCTAGGCCCACCTTCCCACCCCACCACCCACCCCACTCCCATCCACCCACCGATAGGCATCATAAACACTTTGTTTTGGCAGGCAGGTGTCGGTATGCTCTTCTAGGTGGTTGCGGATCCACCTGTAAGCATACATGTACTCCTCATTGCTGAGTGTACTTGGCTCTGAGCTGCAAGAGAAATAAAAGAGACAAGTATTACCAACATCCCAACAGTTGCCCTGGTTCCATCCAGATTATCACCTCAGTAGGGCTGGACTGAATCAGCGCATCCAGAATTCACCTTTCCCTGGTAAACCAAGGCAGGACAACAACTTTTATTCCCGACTAAGGAGAGCTGTTATGAGTATTCTTATTCACCAAGCCCTTTTTAAGGGAGCCTTTTTTTTTTTTTTTTAAGTTTTTATTGAATGTGTTACAATACTGCTCCTGTTGTTTACTTTTTGTTCAGGAGTCATGTGGGATCTTAGCTCCCCAACCAGGGATTGAAACCGCAACCCCTGCATTGGAAAGTGAAGTCTTAACCACTAGACCACCAGGGACCACCCCTAGGGAGTCTTTCTTTAAAAATAAGCACCTCTGATATCTAAAATTCCAGCACCAAACCTACCTTTTGTCTCCAGTACTGGGCCCCGAGGGGAGCTGAAGATAGAGATACAGCTTGTCATTGTCTGAGAATTTCTGTACATCTTGCTGAGGTAGGGAGGACCAGAGAGGCAGGAAAAATTATGAGGCCAAGAAATACCCAAGGTAGGACCCTCTGATCCTCACTAAACTGTCTAGCTGAGCGAGTGAGTATCAGGCTGACAAAGGAGCTTAGAAATGATTTGAGGCTAGGTGCTCAATGTGCCCCGAGGAGCCCTTAAGAATTACCAAGGTGAGAAGGGGAGTGGAGGTGATCAGCTCTGATTTTATTTCTACTGGGCTTCTACACAAGAGGTCACAGAGATGAAGATGCTCAAGGTCAAAGCGATAACGAGCTATAAAGCCAATGATCTTCTGACAGGGCAGACAGCACTGACTCCCTTGCATAAACCTTTCTAACCCATATCCTCACCTTCTTCATCCCCACCCCACCCCCCACCAATGCCATCTCTCTTGCCTTCTTCCCCAGAATACTCACCAGGATCCCCTCTACTTTGTTCTGCACGGCCTTGCTGTAGAGAAGAGGAAAAAGCTGGAGGTCATACAAAAGATTTCTCCCCATCCCTGTGGCTGACTGCCAGGGAGAGGAAGAGGTCTGAAAAGCCTAGCAGGTGCTCAAGAACTGTTACCATGATGAAAATCTCCCCTGGTCGGATGCACTCGCTTGGGGAGGTGCAGGTCATCTAATACAGAGGAAGAGAAGTGCTATAGGGATCTATTCCCAGGTCTGAAACAAGGTTTAGAGATGGTGATGAGTACTTACGAAATGGTACCTCGGAGCCTCTGAAGAAGGGTGGTGGGTTCCCCTGCCTCAGCACTACCTGAGGTAGTCCTTCCCCCAGTCTTTGGGCTCTTAGCATCAGGTTCATCTTCTGCCATCCTGGCATGAGGGCTAGAGTCGAGAGAAGACAGGACAAGAAGATGTAACAAGATTTCCCTTCCCCGCTGGAGGTCCCAGGGCACTCCTCACCTCTCTACCCAGAAAGACAGAAAGAAAGCCTCCGAATTTCCCCAGTGGTCTTTTTCTATAACTTGCCTTCTCCAAAAATTAGAAATTATTCCATTACTTCTCCAGGCCCATATATACCCAAAGAGATCTTTGCCATCTCCATTCTATCTGCCCCACCTTTCTGCGGTCTCCTAAATGTGGAAAACTGTAAAGGAAGAGACACGGGGGATTGGGAATCCACGTTAGAGAGAAATTTTCATTTCTGCCTCTGACCCCATGCTGCCCTCCTTTCCCTCAACCACCACCACAAGACAAAGTTGTTTAATTCTCTAATATACTCCTCATCACTGAATTTGCCTGGGAGGTCAGAAAGGATACGAACATTTTCTGCCCTTCCAGGCTTGGAAGAAAAATCTGGGCCCAACTTCTCATTACTTAATCTCGCCACGGCTTCCCCCGCAGCTCCCCCTCCCCACGTCGCCGGCCCCTACGTCATCGCCCTCAACCTCCCCTCCCGACGCGCGCCCCCACTCCCTCCCTTCCCCCTCCATTCCATCCCGCGTTGCTGCGAAGTAGGGGGTTCAGGGTAGCGGAACTCCTGTGCTGGGCGTAGGAAACCCGGTTGCGGGAAAGGGGTCCTAGATTCGGGGCACGTGCACATGGGTGAAGAAGCAGTTGAAAATACAGCCAAAATCTTGTCTGCTCTCCTCCCAACTCATATTGCCCCCTCCCTACCTTTGAACAGTCACCTTCCAAAACAAGCACCAATAAAGGTAAGGGAGAAAGAGAAACTACCTCGTAGCCACCTTCACTCCAGCCCAGCCCCACGATCCTGGCCCAGCGGGCTCGTGCGTTGCTTTATTTCCTTTTTTCTGAATGGCTGGAACGGCCCCGATCTGCCTAGATACTCGGACGGCCTGCTCTATGATTGGTCGTTGCTGCCACCCGGAGACAGAAGGCGCCGGGCTCGCACCGGCGGCCGCTAAAATCTGCCTGGTAACAGAATCTGATTGGTCAATAGGGGAGGGAAAATCCAAAGTTGGTCTTATTTGAGTCAAGAGGGGGAAGTCCGGGTTAGGTTTCGGTTAAAACTGGGGTCGGTTGGGACTGCCGGTCCCAAGAGGTTCTTCTCTTAAAGGGACCGCAGAACGAAAGGCCGGACGCTCTCCTCCTTTTGAAGCTTTCTTTGCTTTCTCCTTCCGTGTTTCAGTTTTGCCTTCGGGCGTCAGAGCTACTGGAAGAAAAGATTCAATGGACGATAAAATAGCTAGAAAATGATAGGTAGTAGTGATAGAAGTTGCTGGAAACTCACATTACTAGCTTTTGATGAAAAACAAGTTGAACTATTCCCCCCTAGTCCCTACCACCCAACACGTGCTTGCAGACACTCAGAAGAAACCTGCAAGCACAAGCTCACATTCCTCAATTGATGGAGGCCTCTTAACCTCAGCAGCTGTACCACATAAAGCTAAAATAAAGTGCCCTTAGTCTTCCTAGGATTCCCGAAAGTACCTCGTTTCCTTCCAAAGAGTCGCCGCTTCTTTTGCATCCCCTTAGTTCAGTCAGTGAACAAAGGAATTTTGACTGACTCCCCCAAGGGGTGCTGAGTTCCCACCTGGACTTTTTCGCCTCAGAGAACATTGTGCTGAAGGGTCAAGCGTCCCTCTGCCTTTTGGTTAAGGCTTTTTAAGGTCGTGAGTCTGAGGAAAACAATAAACCTTCTGCCACGAAAATATAGGTACAGGCCAAGTGGTGCATCTAGTTTAAGAGGTCACGGACTCAAGGTTAACCATCCTTTGAATGGATTCACAGTTTTTTGTTTTGCACAGCAGATATGTTACACCCAAAACTATGTTTGTAGTCCTGACCTGCAGTTCTCCAGTCTCATCATCATTGTGCTTTTGTAAAGAGGAGAGCAGTGTTGCCTCCTCATGTGTTCATGCAGTTCAGTCATTTTGACTCTTTGTGACCCCCCTGGACAGTAGCCCACCAGTCTCCTCTGTCCAGGGAATTTCCAGGCAAGAATACTGGAGTTGGTTGCCATTCCCTTCTCCATGGGATCTCCCCAACCCAGGGATGGAACCCATGTCTCTGGGGTCTTCTGCATTGGCAGGCAAATTCTTTACCACTGAACCATCTGGGAAGCCTGATTTCGTGATCATCACCCTTTGCAGTCTGTATTCCCTTACTACCAGCTTTGGTGGGTTCTGGGGGAACAAACCCAGGGGATTGTGGAGCTGGGGAAATTCAAATATACTGGCAAGAAGGTTTTCTAGTAACAGTTAAAATTTGTTTATTGCATGCCAGACACCAGACCAAATGTTAAATACCTTATTTTGAAGTAGGAACTATTGTTGCCTCCATTTTGCAGACATAGAAGCAGACTTGGAGAGGTGAAGGGATTTGTCCAGAGTTATCTTGTAGTAAGTTCTGGAATCAGGATCCAAAGTCAGTCCCTCTGCCTTCAGAGCCAATTCTCTTGAATACTGCCCTAGATTGCATTTATACAGATTTTCAGGTGCTCATGTACAAATATGGGTATAGACTGATGGAAAGATACCCCAACACCACTGTTTGGTATAAAAGGGAATGTAAAGCACTTTAAATGGAAGAAGAATTTGGGGTAGATTATGCTGGCTTATGAATTTCATTCTTTTTTTTAAAAAATAATCTTGTTTGTTTATTTTTGGCTGTGCTGGGTCTTTGCTGCTGCATGGGCTTCTCATTGCCATGGCTTCACTTGTTGCTGAGCAGGGGCTCTAGGGCACGTGGGCTCAGCGGCTGAGGTTCCCAGGCTCTAGAGCACAGGCTCAGTCGTTCAGGTGCACAGACTTAGTTGCTCTGAGGCATGTAGATCAGGGATTGAACCTGTGTCTCCTGCATTGGCAGGTGGATTCTATATCACTGAACCACCACGGAAGCCCTGGCTTAGGGATTTGAAGGTGTCAGAGAATAATCAGAAGCTTTAGCAAAGGGAGGAGAACTATCATCTCTGTGAAAGGGAAATTATTTTGACAGCACTGTAGAAAGGCCAGGTTGAGTCGGGAGGTGGGGAAAGTTAGAGATGGGAAAAACAGGCAACTAAATATTTATGCCAAATTTCTGCCTAAGATCTGAGGATACAAAGCTGAATAAGGTGTAATAAGGTATTGTTGCAGGAAGGAAGCCAATTCTGATGCCATGTTGGAAACTGTTTCTTTGACTTGCATTTATTATTATAATCATACTCAATGGCTTGCCTGGAGGACCCTGCCCCTCTTCTTGACTGTAAACTAAAGTGCCTTTGTTTGGCTCATGGAGAGATAGTTTGTCCTTGCCCACCTGTGAATAGAAGAGACTAACACACCACTTCTGAAGGCTGAACATTCCCTTGGAGATGTTTTATAAGACTGAAGACACTTTCACTTTATTTCACTTTATTTCCCCCACTTTATCTCCCTCTCTGTTTTGCCTTTTGACTTTAGTTCCTCATTGTTTCTTTCTCTCTAATCTATAAAACAACCTGGCATCCAGAGCCCAATAAGATGGTTATTTTGAGGCACTAGCCTTGCCTCAACACCTGTCTTGGATTCATTGGTCTATTGTGCAGTGAGCAGAGTGAGATTGGACTTGGTAACAGTATGATGGTCCTTGCCCTGAGAAGTAACAATAAAAATCATCTGATAAGCATCATTATAATAACAGCAAATATATATTAACATTAATATGTGCTGAGGGTTGTTCTAGGGCCTCACATGTGTTACATTTTTAATCTCATAGCAACTCTATCAGATAGGTACAATTATTATCCCTATTTTACAGATGAGGAGACTGAGGTAATGAGAGATTAATACTTTGCCCAAGGTTACACAGTAAGTGATGGACCTAGGATCTGAACTGGGCTGGCTGGATTCAGAATTTGCTCTTAGGCACTATTATACATTGCCTACTAAAATTGGGAAGGAATTTCTTTTTTCTTTAATATTTACTTTTAGGTATGTGTTTGGGTATGGCACATACAATCTTCAATCTTCCTTGCATGTGATCTTTTTTTAGTTTCAGCATGCAGGATCTCCAGTTGTGGCTCCTGGGCTCTAGTTCCCCAACCAGGGATCAAACCTGGGCCCCCCACATTGGGAGCTTGGAGTCCCAGCCACTGGATTACCAGGGAAGTCCTAGGAGGGAATTTCTTAAACAAACATAAGAATGTAAACCATAAAGTAAAATACTGATAAATTTAGATACATTAATATTAAAAATAAATTTGTTTTAAAAACTACTGTAAAAAGAATGCAAAGTCAAGCTACAAACTTGGAGAAGATGTTTTCAAGACATAACTGAAAAGGATTGTTATTTGGAATTTATAAAGACCTCCTACAAATAAAAAGATGAAACACTAAATAGACTAAAGGGGCAGAAAAAATGAACAGGAATTTTATAAAAGAAGCAGAAATGGCTCATAAATATGAAAAGTTGTTCATTCTCTATAGTAATCAAGAAAATATAAAGTAAAACCACATGAAGATATCATTTCACACTCACTAATAAACTGGCAAAAATTTAAAAGTCTAGCAATATTGAGATTTGACATGGCTGTGGATCAACAGGGGCTCTCATCCACTGCTGGTGAAAAGTATAACTTGGTAGAACTATTTTGGGAAATCGTCTATTTTGGTATAACTATTTTGTATTACTTGGTAATGTTAAATGTGTTAATATGATTCTGCAATCCTATCCCTATAGATGTGCCCTAAAGACAGGAGTGAGATTTATAGTCCCATTGATTGCATTAGTAAAACTGGAAACAACCTGAATGTCCCCCTGCAGTGGAATGATAAATTGTACATTCATATGATGGAATGTCAGAGAGCAGTATAAATGAATGAGCCATGGCTACACATATCCACATGGATGAATTTTAGAAACAGTGAAAGAACCCAAAAGGAAATAT